TACCTCCTTGAGTTTAAGTACAAAACTTTAACACAAATGATTCTGCAAGTATTTGTTATAGCAATAAGAATGAAAAAAAAAAAAAAAAAAAGAGTATGTAGACAAAGTATATATGTACTGGGAAACAAACACATTTAATGACTGCTATGGGTCTGGAATAGGTGGCTCCTATTATTAAGTTTTAAAAGCTAACAATATGTCCTAAGGCATTCTCAAAACCAAACTGCTTGTTCATAGGCATGACAAGCACAGTCTAAGGCAAGGTTAAAGGCATCTTATCACTTGGGACCCCACAGATTTGAGCAGCAATATAAACACAAATGTTCTGTTAACCAAAATGCTTGGATGTCATTACTGAATTTTCGTTACTGAACAATTACTGTATTGCAAAATTAGTGAGGCGTGCTTTTCTGTGGATTTTTGTCCTGTGTCCCACATAAAAGTCCCATTCTCATTACTAATATTCTCCTGAATCCCTATTATTTTCTAAGATTCTCTGTGGCAATAGCTTGAGTTCCCCTTATATATCCCTCAAATCTCTCCCAGATGTCTAAGGGTCTTCCGAGGCAATACATGCTCAGCGTCTGAGCTTGGCTGGCTGGTCTGTGCCTGCCAAAAGGCAATTGGAATAGGCAACTGCTGAGCTTCTGCTTCAGCATTTCTCCCAGCGGCAACTCATCCCAGGCACCAGTTCTCCTGAAACCTTGTTTTACTTCAAGTTTGTATGATTACTATCCCACCCTCAAAAGTGTTCAAAAAGTATTGCACAAAAACAAAGGACAAGTGGGCTTAACAATTGCACAAGCTTGTTTCCTTACATTTTCTGGCTGATGAAAAAAAGCCAAAACATTTTGTATTTGAAGATAAAATTCTGAAATGTACATCAAAGAGTAAAGATCTTGAAGGCGAATCAAAATAACCTGGCACAATCATCTTCTTTGCCAGCCTCACCATTGGAATGGAAATGAAATGTTAAATCACGTTTTTCAGGGGTTTTCTGTCTACTAATCTGTCTCTTCTGCACACAAAAGCTTACATATCTTGTCAAAGTAGTAGTGTTCTTGTAGCAGCAACAGTCTGAGTAAGATATAAACAAGGAAATCTGTGTAGTTATTAAGGCAGCCAAAGTATCTGGAAAAAACAGCAAGCGTGCAAGTCTTTCTTCAGGTCTGAAATAGAGGCAGTAAACTGCAGACTAAATACAGGTTGGAAACAGTTGAGTTTGGCATAATAAAATTATGCTTGAAGAAATTGTTCCCAACTCTGCCCTTAACAGAAATGTACTGCTCCTCTCTGTTTTAGATCTATGAAAGTTTTGATTGCCTGTTTGTTTGTTTATTTCTTTTTCCAGCCATATTAGGTGTTTAATAAAATACACTACTTCTCCTTAGGAACATTCCTTGCTTCAAAGTTACCTTCTATATTCCACTTACTTCCTTGGTTTTCTTTTCATCAGAGCAAGGAGTTTGTTTAAAAAGAAGTTGCTCCTGACAAGAAAAAAGAAAAAGAATCATTCTTGGTCTAGGCATTTCTAATCTGAGTTTGAGTATTGTAGCTCCTTATAATAGGATTCAGTTTTTTGTAACTAATGTGGTGGCTTTCCTCATAATTTTTTATATTCCTTTTTATATTCCTTTTTATATTCCTTCTGTTCCCTTTTGCTGCAACTTCATTTCCTCTGGTCAGGAGAGCAAACCACTTAGTGATAGATTTTCATCTTAGTGTAATAACACATGTGAAAAGGGAGAAGAAAGTGTAAATGTGAAGAAGAAAAATTATTATTGTTTCAGAATAATTATATATGGTGTCTGGAGTTTATATAGAACACATATGGGAACGCATAATGTTAAAAAAGCCACATGTATTACATCCTGAACAGGCTGTAATCTAAATAAGATAAGACAAATATAATTCAATAGAGACACAGTTCAAAGGGGAGTCCCCTCAGCTTGCCAACACTGGGGAAAAGGCAGAAAGGATTTCCTGAAAATCTACTTTTAAAGGTAGACAGCTGATAAGCATAATAATATATCTTCTCTGAATAAGAAACCATGTAGACCGCAAAGAAGCATACTTTGGCTGGTATATAAACACCTGTGCTCCAACTTCTGCCTTCTGGATTTTAGGGAGACAATCTGCCTGTTAGGTAGTCACCGCAGAGCATATTTTCCCTTCCTCTGAGACGAGTGGGCATGACCAGTGGTGAAAGAGGATGTCAGAGACAAACCACTGACTGCTCTGGTATGACACTACCAAAGCTACTAGAACAGGAGAGACCCTATGTGACAGTCATAGGGCAGAGACACAAGGCAAGGAGATGGAAGGATCACAGGAACAGACAGAAAACAGTGAAAACTACCAAGGGGTATGTCAACTGTAGACAGGGTTTATGCAGCTGAGGAAGCTTTTTGTATTTTAGGAGGTATGTATGAAGCCAAATAAGCATGTGAATGTGATCAGAGCAGTAGGTGAGAGATACAGAAACATCATCATGGGAAAGCTTGAGGAGTGGGAGCTCACACTGCGAGACTGATGTCATCAAAGCAAGATACCACCAGTATTAGCTACACCCAGTATTTACAGGGACTTACATAGGAAATCATCTGCTGAAGAAAGAGCATATAAGAAAATAATGTGCAGGAAAGGAAAAGCCAACTAATAGTATCCTCCTATATTTCAGTTTGAGTCTTCTCTGAGACTCACCACAGACTTCTGAATTTCAATTCTTGCAGACTAAACACTTTGTCCATGGGTATCACTTGATGGTCTCTGAGCCAAAAGGCAGACATGCTTATTCAAAATATAAACCAGCACGCTCAGCTCAGCGTAGCCAAACATGGCACGTCTTCTCAGCCTCTAGTATCAGTGAGCACCAAATATCTGCCCAGGTAGGCTAGTTAAAACAAAAGTGACCCCTGAGTAGAGTGCTTTCTAGTGTAATTCCCTGTAGGAACAACAAAAAATTCCTCCATTTGATTTTTTTTTTTTGATCCAGTCATAAAATGTTAAGCCTCTAAATTGTTTTAAATTAAGTTTCTTTAGAAGTTTGCAGCTGGTATAATTATTCATTGCCTGAGCACAGTATTAGCTGTGCTGCAGCTTAACTCAGCTGCCACATGGCCTCTGGGGAGGCAGGATTTCATCCTTGACGGACTCAACTAGTCAGGGCCGGAGGCAGGGCAATGCAATAAAAAACGGAAGAGAGAGAGGGCTGTACTTTCAGTGTTTCCGTCTCACGTTAGGAGTGACTGAAACATCATATAGAGAAAATAGATTTCTTGCCAATGTGTCTCATGGACACAGTTCCCATTACCTAACTTCTAGTCCCAAGGAAGTCTCTTAATTTTACCTCCTTTAATAAATATGTGCTTTTTGAAAAGGCTCAAACTTAATCTTGAAAATTACACTGACTCAATCAATGGCACATCACATAGTTTAATTAATGACCTGAAAGCAAATGTTGTCTGTTAAATACCATGATGGGCACTATAGAGGGAAAGTAACTTCCTATAGGGAATGACAAGTGAAAATATCTGAGATTGGGTACAGTCTAATCTATTCCAAACTAGAATTTTATTGTTTACTTCTTTCCTATATCTGTCAGTCACAGCTTAGTAACAGAAGGTGAATTTTTATCACAGTCCAGAAAGTCATCCAATCTTTCATTTAATTTGATCCAGAAATTTTCACAAGGCTCTTCTAAAACACTGCCAGTACATCAGTGCAAGCAAACCAGGAGATTTCCAGTTCCCACTTTTCCTAGCTTAAGAAATATGAATAAGTATAGTCACACTGAAATAGTTCTTCAAAAGTAAAGATTACAGTTTAATTTTTTTTTGTTGTTGTTTAAAGAGACCAGAAATGGATCTAAGGGTTCTCAGGTAGGAACAAATAGTTTATAAAGAATTATCTTAATATATATTACATTAAATTAATTACATTAAATAAAACCCTAACTTTAATGTAGTAAAATATTCACTAAGATTAAAACAAATTTAAAAACCGGTAAGATACACAAAAATATAGGTCTAGGAATACATTTTGAAAATTAGTTATACTTTTTTATTATTATTTTTCTATGTTTGAAAATCGTATAGTTTGCTTAACTGGAAATAAGATCATCTGAATATATGAAATATGAGGAGAGTTAGGTACCTTAAATATTCTACTGCTGTTTATTTTTCATTCTTAGAAAATAAAGTTACAGTACCCTCTCCGGTGCTTTTGATAATCTATGAATACTCCCAACTTCTTAAATTAAAGATTTCAAAGCATCAAAATATATATAGATATCTTATTTCACCTCAGCAGGTGAGAAAGTAATAACTTCATAGTAGCCAAAATCTTGGCTAATATGAGCTTTAGTGGATCAAGAATGAAATAAATAAATGTTACAACTGAGGATCACTCACAGACACTGTCCTGTCCTATCCCACAGGTCTTATATGCAGAAGAGGATTTTAAAATAAAACCCTCCCTCCTTAAGTTGTGACAGAAACTCGACAGGAAAGGAATCGTCCATTCTTCTTTAGAGATTAAAGCACGAGATATTATCCATCACTAACTTGAATTCAGTGTAGTGTAGGCTAATGTAAAGTCTTTTTAATCTTTTATAGCATATAGCAGAATTCTGTTTTGCCTTAATTGTCTCAATGATAACTAGGACTAATGCTATACGAAATGTATTATAGAATATGACTAAGCCCAGTATTCCCATTGAAGGTTGTGCAAATGCAGCATCATACTATTAATATCTTGTAATTGGAAAGTGATTTTCAACTGATAACCTCAACTGCCTTTTCAAGTATCAGTTGAACTACACAACACTCCTACATGGTTCGTATTAGTTGATTCATTTTATAGATAGTCAAACTGGAGCACAGAAAGCTATGACCAGTAATTAGAATGTATAGGTAAAATGTAATGATGGTTTTATTATTGTCTAAAGATTCTACCAATTACAATAATTACATCTAGTTATTTTGCCAACTTTTTTCTAGGGTTTTGGTAGCCCTTCAGGTGAACATTGGCTGGGAAATGAATTTATCTTTGCAATAACAAGTCAGAGGCAATATTCTCTAAGAATTGAATTAATGGACTGGGAAGGAAACCGAGCATATTCACAGTATGACAGATTTCACATAGGAAATGAAAAGCAGAATTACAGGTAAGAATCTATTAAAATTCTTTTGACTCTGCTGAGTGATAAATATTGTTCATTGTTCCCTTGTTAAATATGAGAAAGGACAATAATATGATACTGATTTTAATTGAAAGTGAATATAGAGGGTAAAAATAAAATAGAAATCTGATTTCTCAGTGATGGAATGTTAGAGTAAAACCAACATATCTGAGAACAAGGGATAATTATTAATCGTGTTGGCTGGTAGAACTGCTAAAAAAGTTGTATAACTTTTAGCATATCTGAAACCTTCAGAACTCAAACCTGATTGAATAGAAAAAGGATATGGATTCTTCATTACAACTTGAAGGATTTCTACCTCGGAAGCATAAAACTGAAACAATGGACATGGGAAGAAAAGACCAAAATTGCTGTTAAAATTTCTGATATTACCAACTAAAATTTCAGTGTAAATCAAGAGGAAAAACAGAATGTTGGATCTTATTGTGAGGAGACAAAACACAAAACAAAGTGTCAGGTGCTGGATAGCCTTAATTCATCATCATCAGCAGTATTCCACTTATAGTTAAAAAGAGACATACGAAATTAAAACTTTTTCCAATAAAGTTTTTCTCCCATATTTTTTTTTAAGATAAAAAAGTAGGAAAATTAAATCTGCTTATTAAAAAAAAAGAACAAAAACTTTGGAGACACAAGAGCTATGGATGACCTAAGTGGTTTAATAATTATTTTTTTAAACATTGCTTCATCTGAACAAACAGTACAATGCTGGAGGAAGAAAATGAAAGCCAGAACAATATCCTGAATTATTTATTGCAGCACATCTAGTTAGCATAAGATTTAGGAGAGAAACAAATATATTGTAAAACCAAAGATTCAAGTCATAACATGTGAAACTAGGTTGGTATTCAGATTTTTAAATTAAAGTAACTTGATTCTCAGAAATGCTGATTGCCTCCCTTTCCCCTGGGCCTCCAGAGAAATGGAAGTGAGATCAATTTGCTCTTTTTGCTGACAGGAATCTGCCCAGGTGAGACACAAAGTAGTGCCCCTCTCCTCTGGGGTTTGTCGGAGGGCACTACTGCACAGTGTAGAAGTGCATTTAGAAGTAACCAGAAGTAACCAGTATAAGTTTAGCTCCTGTGTGAAGCAAGGACTACCCCATGGCACACAAAGGACAGCTCTGCCTTCCACTGCCTCCAGCCATGCCATGCCATTTCCCAGATTCGGGAAAGTGGAGCACCCATTCTGAAGCTCTCTCAGGCAAAGAGAAAATATAAGTAAAGGAAATTAGAAGTGTTGACACAAAACATAAAACCAGCAGTGTAAAAGTGGATCATCTGGGGTCATAAACATTCATAGATGTTCAAAAATTTAAGGAAAATGTGGGACAAATACTTGACAAGTGAGGAAAAATGTTAAAGGACAGAGTTACACATAGCTCTAAAAATTACAATGAAAACTAGAGACATCGGGAGTGTTACTCAAAGGGTGAATTAAGATGCCTGAATTTGCTAACCAAAACAGTGTCTTTTTTGCTTACATTTATTCTGCACTGAATAAGGACAAGGTGTATAGTTGAAGAATCAGAAGGATGTTGAAAATTTAACTTATGTTAAAGCTTATGCTAAGGGAGAATTTCTTTTCAGGACTCATCTGGGTTCATTCATGGCAAAATAGCAAGACAATTTCTTGTTTTGTTTCAAAATGCTAGACTGTATTTGTAGTAAGACAGTAGAGCAACTTAGAAATGCTTAAGGAATTTCTACTTATCATAAGTCCATTTAACACACCCAGAGCAGAAGAGGCAGAGTTTTGGGGAGGGGCTGCACTCTTTTCCTTCCAACAGTCTGGGAACTCTGCTACCTCAGGTGCTAAATACCAACCAGGACCAGGACACAAGCTTAAGAAATTATGTAGTGTCCTACGTGTATTTAATTGGTTGTGCTTTTCCTGGCACAGTTTTAGCCCAATCCAATTAACACTTTCCCAGGCAATTCCTGAACACAGCTGTGGGATCCCATGAAGCGGGGACTTTTTCCAACGCGTGTTGTGACCAAGTCCATGTTAGTTTGTTGGGGAAGAAAGCCTAGACGTACAGACATGAATAGTGGTGTGCCACTAACCTGGATGGCCAAAGAGCAAGCTCTAGCCCAAGATATAAACTTTATTAAAAATTTGATATGTCCTTTGTCATCTATAATAAACTTTGCCTCAAAGAAAGAGCCTTTAAAGGACTCAGGCATTGCTTCTTTGCCTTGGCTGGTAGCACAGGCACTTGGAGATTTCCTAAGTAGACTGGGGGGAAGGGAAGGGAAGGGAAGGGAAGGGAAGGGAAGGGAAGGGAACTCACTTTCATTAGAAGAAAGGGAGATCTTTGGGTGATATAAACCATATTTTCTGTACATGGAAACAATTGTGAAAACTGATCAATGAAAATTCATCTTGGTGAACAACAAAACCAAGAGAGATGTATTTCAAAACTGTAGAAATTAAATCAGAAACGGTGTACAGGTCTCAAAAAGTATAATGTTGAGTAACAGGAATAAATTATGCTATACACGTTCAAGTAATTTTTCCACAAAAATCAGAAGGAATTTTACTTGGGGCTAATGACTGCCGTTTTGGTTCCTGTTCTACTCCATAGTCTAATTAAAGGCCAGAACGTGTTCTACTGATGCTGTCTGTGTGGCCTTCTCTGAGGAACTGAAGCTCCTCTATCTAGTGAACAGAGAATCAGTTCCATTCACATTACTCTGTGATAAACAGAGAGAGAAACATGAAGAGCTAAAAAAGCTCTGTCCATCTCTGTTGGCCCTTTGGGTTTCAGATGAGTTCCTCAAAATTTACTCACACATATTGGATATTTAAAGCAAATAACTGAGTAACAGATTGACAGTTCTGGAAAAAATGAAGTGTAAGCCACATGCAAATCTAAACTGTTTTTCGTGGTTGACAAATGCACTAGTGCCTTGTTCAGACAGATGTATGTCCAACAGACATTTTGCAAACCAAAGTTATGTTTGGGTCTTTTAGAAATTATTACAGGAATGCATCCTATGACATAAAAACTCTTTATTTTCCTTGCCAGCACCACTATCTGTGATAGAACTCCAGAAGGCAGGCCAAATAACAGCCTGATTATTGAGTCCAAAAGGGCTGGCCACCCTTCAGAGAATGCTATTTTCTCTTTATCTGAGGAACTGCCATTAAGAATTTAAATGATTCCTCTGAAGCTGAAAACCACAGTTCCCAACCTCCTGCTCGCAGTGCCTTTTCTTCATAGTTGTCAGGCATTTGCCGTATTTGCTTTCAATACCTCAAACACAGAACAGCGCACCTTTTCAAAACTTTAGTTGCTGCTCATTTGAAATAAATTTGCCAACCAAGCTAGATATTCTCTTATTTTGGAAGCTGTTAGGATTTTCTGCTCGTGACCAACATTAAATTTTGCTTCTTCAACACTGTTTGTAAAAATAAGTAATTGTAGGCTGGCTGCACTCTACATTATTTTGCAATAATACAAATTCACTAAGAAAGAATAACCAGTAAAGACACAAGTTTCCAAGCTGGTCTGGGCAGTAGATCAAGGAGATCTGAGATAAAGAAAGGGTATTGAAGTAAAAGGAAAAGCTCAAGCAGTTAGAGATCTTTCATTTTTGCTATGGCAGTACCTTGTATGGTTGGAAGACACAAAAAAAAAATTAAGGTTCCAGGTCTCACATTTGAATATAGTAAACTAAAAAAAAAAAAAAAAGAAAAAAAATACCATGAAGTGATAAAATGTGTCTGAGAAAACACGGAACATCATTTTCATGCTGTTTTTCCAAAATGCAGGCCCAACATTATGCAAAGTTCGATTCAGTCTGGATAACTCCCAATTGGTGATTTCAGAAGGGTTCTGTTTTTTCTCTGGGTTGTTTGTATTCTCTTTACTACTTTTTATTAGCCTAAAGAATCTATGATTAAAAAGAGTAATGCCGAACACATGTATGTTAAAAATATACTTGTTTCTCTTTCAAAATGAGACAGCTCCAAGAGGATTTCTGGGAATGCAGAATAAAATCTATTTATCCCAGATGATGACTGCATAGAAGAAAGTTGAGATGAGAAGGTGGATACTGAAACAGTCAATGTAGAATGATAAAAAATCAATGGTGCAGGACATGTGAAACCTTCAATATCATGGAATTATCTAAATGATTCGTTTCCTTTAGAACATCTTTAGGCTTCTTATCTACACAAAATGATTACTCAGAGGGCTGTCTGTAAATATGATGAAAACTACGTCTTCCAGTCTCTTTGCAAGGCTTCCACTGTGGCAAGTAAAATCTCCATAGAGTAAGAAGAATCAGATCTTGCAAGCCCCAATTAGCGCAGTGTTTCTCAGTTTAAGTCAAAGGAATTATTCATAGAACTATAAAAACAGAAGTTGAGACTCTCAGAAAATACATAGCCTCTCCTCTTTTACTATGCAGATGCTATCTAGCCCACTCTTGATCATCTCTTGACACTATTTTATTTTCTTAAGTCAGCTGTACAGCTATAACAGACTGCTGCTTTGACCTGTATCCTCAGACCCTCCAGAATTAAAAAGGAAAAGTAACCATGTGTTGGGATTTCAGGCACCACACTTCATAATCCCACATATTAGTTAATCAAAGCAGATATACTGATGCTGGATTTTGAACAGCAGTAATTTCAGCCTGCACACACATCTGCTTTTGTTACTTATGATACAGGAGCGGCACTTCCAGGCAATGCAAGGGATGGAGAATGGGGGAAATACAATTTTTAATTGGCTGAGCTATTTGTATTTCAGAACCCTTAGAGAGATTGAACATAGCCTCATCTCCCTATCACAATATATTCCAGTATTTCACCATTCTTTTATTTAGAAAAGCTTTCCATTGCTGCAATGGCTCACTACCCTTGGTCCTATCCATGGAGGAATATGATTAAATAATGAGGCAGTGCTGCTGAAGTAAGCAAGACTTTGGAATTGCTGTGGGTGGGTATAGGTG